ACACCTTACATCCTTCAGTAACTCCTTTCGTGCATTCAATATTTAGTCTTCGATTAATTTATCCTCGCCCGTGTATAAACTTTTTCAAAAATTGATTTTTAACCACATTGTTGTATTTGTTATTTTAAAATAAAAGACACATAGAGCTTTTCTTCATAACCTTGTCTAATTATTACCTGATCATCTGCGAATAACAAAGTGAAAATGTAAGTATTATTTCTAGAAAGTATTTCCAAAGATCTCTTAAAAAGTATTTTATATAAAGTAGACAATGTTCTACACCCTTGCCAGAGACCTTTTTTAATGTACATGTTCCCTGGAAGATTGTTTCCTAATTTTAATTTGAGATATTGCTCCTTAATTTATTTTTCTTAAAACCATAATTATTTTATTATTCATTTCCTTTATAACTTCTGATAACTTAGATAATGTCTATCAGAAAAAAGACTATCCAAGATAATTGTAGAATGGCTTCCACATGAAAGAGGAAGAAGAGATAGACTTACACGGGGTTAAAAGAAATTAGACAAAAGGTTAAAGAAAAAATGGCAAGATTCTGTTTGTAAAACCAGAAAAAGTTAGAAGAATCTAATTAATATAGCCTAGAAGTTCAGGAATATATTTTACCTTTGTACAATGTTTTGAAAGGCATTTATTTCCACCAAAATAGCAAAAAGACAGATTTTCTGGCTAACATAGGAATGAAAAAGGAATGTAAACAATGAAAAATAATCATTAATGGATTTATAGAAAATAATTGATAAATAATGAAAATTATTCAAATGTTTCCTTTAACTTAAGTTTGCCTCAGCACTTAGAAAAGATTTTTTCTTTGGAATCATGATGGCATGTAGCCCCGTCAAATACTTTTTGTTTTGCACACTCTCTATATATCAGAAATATTGTTTTTCAGTTTCTCTATTGAAAATTATTTTCACTGGCACACGAAATTTTAGTGTGATGACTACAAATTTGTTTCATTTGCAATGTAGTCTCTGTGAAATGTCATTGTCAACTTTACTATTCTCTTTTAAATTCTGATAAGACAGTAGTGGAAACATGTACTTTCATTATTCTTCAAACTTGTAAGTAATTGCCAGCACTGAGAATGTCCATATCTTACATCATGTACTGTCCACAAAAGGAAGGTCTTACTTGGTGATGATATTAGATTCCTCGTGAGTTAAAAAAGAAGTTAGTATGAAAGAAATCCAACAACTATAATCTTGCTTTCTCTCGTAATGAGTTTAAAATTTCCTGCTCTTAGAACCAAGTTCAGTGGATCTTGCTTGATATCATGCCTCTGCTTCAACAGAAAGACAAAACACAAATGTGTCATGTTGTTCAGGCTTGCAAGTAAGTGTTCAGCTTGATAGAGATTGGTGATTGAAGAAAAAGGGAAAAAATGGTGGAAAATCAGAAAAAGATCAAAATAAGGCAAAATACCAAAAACAGGCTTATGAAGCTAAAATAGGGAAAATGAAAATCTTATAAAACAACTGTAGAAGTACAGTTAAATTATCCCTATTGTCAGAAGTCTTTGTCAAACTGTAAAAACAATAAGAGACATTTTGTCACACTTCTGGGCTCTCTACTCATGAAAATTCATTAAATATTTTTTATTTGAAATTATGGAATTCTGGGTACAGAAAAATATATTATAGTCACAAATCTGTAAATTGTGAACTTTTAAAAAGGTTTTGTCTTCTGGCCTGTTCCTTTGAGTCCAGTAATCCCTTTGTGGCTGCTGAGGTGTTCCTGGATCTCCCATCTTTTTCTTGGTTTACCTGGCAGTTCACCCCTTCCTCCTGGTCTATATTTCAGGATCTGGTTTGGGCAGGGGCATCCAGAGAGTGGGGGAGCAGAGCCAATTTTCTCATGGCCCCACCCACGTGGAACCCCAAAAATTTGTACGTACTATTTTGTTAAATTATATGAAATGAATTCCTATATAAAGTATAAACATTTGTACATTGTTTCTTGTTCTTATTACTTTCCCATATATGTACATGTATACAAAGTAATATAAATAGTATAGGCAAAGTTATGCAAAGCTGCAAACACTTGATTTTGAGATTTCAACGGAAATAAAAGGTTTTTATTAATTTATTTATTGTTTATTAACAGGCAAACGCCCAAAATACAGAATAATACATATAGAATTTTATATTAGGAGTCGATGCCGGCATTGTCGGTTAAAGCTTGAAATTGTTTTTCAGTGTCTTCCTACAACTACAAAATTGAAGATTGAGATTTATCTTTCATATGAAACTTGTTCTCCATAACTAGTTCTTTCATTAAGTTCTATCAATTTTCCCTACAAAGCTATTTTTTTTCTAATGGCTGTCACTTTTTCTTTTCATTTACCAAATTGTTTAATCTTTAAACAAATAAATAAATATATAAATAAATAACATGATTAATGTATGAAAGAATGAAATAAAATAAATATTATAATTACAAGTGAATGTGTGTGTTGTATTACAAATACACGATTTACACTACGCTCAGCAAACATTTTAATCGATGAAAGACTTTCTCGCGATAATGGATTTGTTCTATGTCCTACTTTGGACTTGGTTGTCAAGTATCCTATGATTAAACGTTCTCCTTCAAGTTTTGGCATGCATTCGCCATTACATTGTCTTGGAAAAAATTGATTTAGTTTGTCCGAGATTACGAATAATTTCGGTTCAAGTAATAATTCCGGCCGACATTTCTCAATAGCAAGGGCAGAATATGCAGCGAAGATCGCTTAATACTTGAAGGTTCGGCGGGTTGCGTAAAGCTGTTCAGGGGCGCTTAAGTCAGCACAAACGCATAAAATCATCGACCGTGTGGCGACAGACATACGCACATCCCCATTATACTATGCCTATATTCTTCGCGCTATATTCTTTGCTTCATTGATTTTTATAGATTAGATTTTTCATTTGTATCATGACGTACAATAGTCTTCCAAGGGGTTTGTTTCATAGATATTTTTTTCTGTTGTGTACAATACTACACAAAGTTTTTAAAAAATCTGTAGCAAGAAACTTTTATATAAAAGGAGTTTTCAAAGAAAAAATTGACTCAAAAACCACTCAGAACCTTTGCTTTTAACTTTTAGTAGGGATATTTCTAAATGCATTGTAAAATATGACATTTGACCTTTTGCTATATTTTTTTGTCTTTTTGTCCAAAATTACACCAATGAAATTTTTTGAAGTAATAATTCTCACATCATTTATATTTGCAATACATTCACATTTTTATTCTTTTTGCATTTGTGAGATCATGTGCTCCAAATGATGTCTTACAAAGTTTCCAGGAAAATCATTACTTGCCTGTGAAAATTAAGTTGAAATTCTGCATTTTCAGAAACACTTAAATGCCATTTTTTCAAAAACAGCTTCAATTTTTTTTCTTAAACGCATTGCTATAGTAGTGCTAAATGGAATGAATAACATGATGTAAATGCTATTTTGATGTATTCTTTTAATTTTTTAAAAATTACACAAATGTATTTTTAAACACTTCTAATGCCATAAATATTTACATTACCAGCAATTTGTATACATTATTACATTTGTGAGTAAAAGTGATTCAAATAATTTCCAATGAAGTTTCTCAAAAACTAAAAAAAATTCTGTGAAAAACATCTTCAAATTTCCCATTTACAGAAATGTTTCAAAGACTTTTAGCAAATCAACAATTTCTCTTTTCTCGAAGGGGCAAACCGAGAAGCTAACCTAGACTGAAGAAATTAGAAAACTAACTAGTACGAGCATGACTGTGCCATTTAATAGCTTCACTAATTTGTTTCTGCAATGTAACAAAAAGAAGTTTCTAAAATGTATTAGTTGGTTGATATCTTTTGCAAATTAATTAAACATCCTGAGAGCATTGGAATGAGCTATATTGGAAAACTTCCAGTAAAATACTGTACTTTAGCAATGAAATAACTCTACACTTTCAATTAATGTTGTAAAATCCTTGAAAACTTTAATACTCTAAATTATCAGCAGATTTCTTCTAAACATGTATTCTAGAAAAATGTCTATAGTTTATCACCAGGCAAAATAATACATTATAAAAATAGTCCACTGCTTGTCAAAACTACTGATCTCACCAGTCAGCCTACTTATCAAATCAATTCAGACAATACTTTGAACATCTCCAATATTGAGAGGAGGTTTTTCACAATATTGAGACAAAGTCACAATTTTTGTAGTTTTTTCTTCTTTGAGACAAGGAATTGTGAAGTATGGTATTCTCATGCAAACTTGACTAGATACTAATAAAAAGTCCACTTTTGTAACTAAATTTATCTACAATAATGTGATATTTTCCAATTACCACACATATGAATGCAATAAAAAGCTTCATTATAGTCATAATGCTCTACTGGATTTATTATAGTACTAGTTTCAATGTCTTCATTATAATACTTCTCTTTGAACACAAAAGAAAAGCAATGTTTGAAAGAAATGAGTAATATTACTCTCATAACCAAGATATTAATGAAAAAATAATTATACAAATAAATAGCAACTGTCCTTTCTGCCTATGATAATAACTATCGCAATCATTGCAGATAAAGTGAGAAAAATACACATGGGAAATAATGTTATAATGAAGTCATATCTAATTAATTTGATTATAATTATTATGACATATTTTAAAATATTTATTGAATTGAATTGAATTTGCCTTATTTTACGTGGCGAGACTCGGGCCATCAGGCCCGCTCTTCCGTCTGACCATGCAAATTTATACGTATGTGTTTAAAATAGATTTACCTTCTCTCTAAACAAGAGTGTTTTTATTTTTTTTTAAATATGAAAATAAGATAATAGTTTTACATGAAAATTGCAGGATCATAAAAACTGCAGAGCATAATAAAGAAGCTCAAAACATTGGTAAATTCTTTTACTAAGATAAAATAGTGCTTTTAGCGTAAG